AGCCACAAGGAATAGGAAACTAGAACCTCATTATTTACTTTTCCAAGATCATCTGAAATGCTTTAAATTACAAAGAAAAGTCATTCAAAATTAAATACTTGAAAAACAGTATCTTTCAGGCCAGAGATATACTAGAAGGGTTAAGGTGCTTGCCTTGCAGACAGCTGACCTTGGTTCGATCCCTGGCATTCCATGCTGCTGAGAATTAGTGGGTTGCCTAAAGAACCATTACTGTGGCCCAAACCATTCCCTCCCCAGTGTTCTTTGGTATCTCAGTTATTATTCAGCTATCAAGAGTGTTTCTAGCTGTTACAGGTTGACTGTGACAATCTTATGATATTCTATAGGAGCTTCTAGCTTCTATATCTATGAACAACAGATACTTTAATTAATCAAGTTTAATTTTTGTTTGTTTGTTTGTGGGTCACACCTGGCAATGCTCGGGGCTTACTCCTGGCTCTGCACTCAGGGATGACACCTGGTGGGCTTAGGGAATATATGGGGTGCCAGGGATCAAACTTGGGTTGGCTGTGTGCAAAGAATGCACCATATTAGCTTTACTATTTTTCCAGTCAAATGAAGTTGCCTACCTGCTATACTATCACTCTTGCCCAATGAAGGTTAATTTCTAATAAAAACTGAATGCTTCGGCAACTTTTCTAAATTTTCCTTTTTCTCTGTACCTGGTTGAAATTTTTGGTAGGAAAATTATGAACCAAAATCTGGTACTTTGGGCTGGAAAGATAATACAGGAGGTTAAGGTTGACCCTAGATCTATACCTACACTGCACACAGGTCTCAGAGCAGCCAGGAGTAATCACTCAACAGAAGCAGCAGGAAGTTCTGACCACAGCTGAGTGCGGCCCAAATATCCCCCACCAACAGAATCTTGTGAACGTTTATCTAAAAAATATTTTTATAGTTATCAAAAGTCAGTCTATTTTCTTTGTAATTTTTTACATGTCTAAATTGTCTATGGCAAACAAACAAATGTGCAACACTTCCAGATTTATATGACTACATTCTATAGTAATTTTTTGAAATCTATGGAAATTTAAATTGTTAATTACATTTAAAGTTAATTGTGAAGTATTTATCCTGATGATACTCCAAAAATATCTCAAACTGAGATAAAAACTTAGAAACTCTATACCTCTACAAATGTAAAGGAAACTACTTCAGAAAAAATATTCAGTTATTAAAACTGAAGGATAGGTAAAGGCCCTCCCGTTGATCATCGATTTGCTCGAGCGGGTCCAGTAACGTCTCCATTGGAGACTTTGTTGTTACTGTGTCTGGCATATCGAATACTCTCGGTAGCTTGCCGGGCTCTCCGAGAGGGGCAGAGGAATCGAACTCGGGTCGGCCATGTTGGCTGCGTGCAAGGCAGACGCCCTATCCGCTGTGCTATCGCTCCAGACCAAGACAAAGTGTAGTGGCGGAACAAAGTAAGTTAGAGGTGGGGAGTGGGCCTGTGTCAGTACAGTGTGTAAGGCCTTGCACATAACTGAGCTGGGTTTGAGTCTCAGTTCCCTATCTGGTCCCCTAAGCCTGCCAGGAGTGATCCCTGTATGCAGAGCAAGGAGTAAGTCCTGATCACTTTGGATGTGACCATGTGACCCAAAAGGCAAAAACAAACAAAGAAATTAAATTAGAGGTAGGAACTTCGACAGATTTTTACTGATGTTCGGAGTGGAAGGTCTTGGCTATGAAATTCTAACACAGTGCACAATAGACACCTCTAATATGATTCAAACTATAAGCTGCTTTAAAAGCAAGTTGCATACTAATTAAGTATTCTCATTCTTTGGAGACTAGTCCACCAGTATTTAGTCAGTTTGATCACAAACATGATTTTAAAATGTCAAATATGAAGGGGGGCCGGACAGACAGCAAAAGAGATAAGGCACTTGCTTTGCTGATCCCAGTTCAAATCCCAAGCATCCTTGAGCACCTCCAGAGCCCAAAGTCAGAAATAACCCTGAGCACTGCTGGATGTGGTACCAAAATCCAAATAAGCGAACAAAACTTCAGCAAACATAGCCAAAAATGAAAAAAAGGAACTGAATCATAATACTGAAAGCTATTATTACATGTATCTCCAATATATTTAGGAAAGATAGTACTGGAGCTTTACTTCATAAATCTACTATGGAACTGAACTCAGTTTTTTAACAAGATATATTCTTATTATTATTTTTTTTTTTGGTTTTTGGGTTACACCTGGCAATGCACAGGGGTTACTCCTGGCAGTGCTCAGGGGACCATATGGGATGCTGGGAATAGAACCCGGGTTAGCCACGTGCAAGGCAAACGCCCTACCCGCTGTTCTTTCTCTCCAGCCCCTAACAAGATGTATTCTTAATGCCTCCTAAAAGGACAACAATGGGATGGTTTCCTAAATAGAAGCCAAAAAGTTTTCTTTAGAAATGAAAAATTTGTAAACTACTATCTTTTAGTGACAAGTTAACTACTCTATCAAATAATGGTCACTGGATAACTTTATCCTTCATATTCTCAAAGTCCTTAATCATTTAATAATTCTGATGTCTCAAAGGATATGCTATGAGGAAATTTTTGGCTTTCATGTACCTACTTTTATTTAGATCATTTATTAGAAGAGTAGTGACGCTGTTGAATAGTGCTGTCCAAAAGAAATAAAAGGGCCAGAGATAGGACAGCATGTAGGACACTTGCCTTGCACATGGCTGACCCGGGTTTGATTCCTGCCATAACTAATATGGTCTCCTGAGCATCACAGGAGTAATTCCTGAGAGCAGACTCAGAAATTACCCCTGAGCATCACTGGGTGTGGCTCAAAAACAAACAAAATAAAGAACTAAAATGAATAGCAATTATTTTTTTTTCTAGGAGTCAGATTAAAAATGAGAAAAATAGAACTAACCACACTAATTTACTTAATGCAATTTAAATATTGAGCTAGTTTAAATTCTTTATTCTATCTTTAAAATCTGATTTGAATACCAGAAAAAATGGTAGAGGTTAAGGTGCTTCCCTTGCATGTGGACAACCCCAGACCAAATCCCAGCACTATATATGGTTTCCTGAGCACAGAGCCCTGAGAGTTAGCCCTAAGCACTGCCAGGTCTGGTTCACACTATTCCCCTCACCAAAAAAAATCTAATATATGTTTTATACTTCCAACACATATCAATTCACACTAGCCACATTTAAAGTGCTCACTTGGCGTATGTGGCTAGTACAAACTGTGAGAGTGATTAAAATTGTGCAATAAAACACGAATCTAACTTTTATAAAGAAAATAAAATGAAAATCACACCAAAGAAGGTTTCCATAAAATTAGAAAACCTTGAGGATCTTAAAGATGTAACTTACAATACTTTTGACTCTTTTGACTGGTTACAAAGCATTACAGTAATTTTTAATTTTAAGCAAGATTTAACCAGGATTTCTTTTTCCATCAACTAGTAAGTAAAAACTTCAAACAACTCCAACTAAAGCAAATGCTTATCATAAAACCTTGTTATAAGTTTATTTAGCTTTCTTTATATTACATACAAGTCAAAGTTCTATTTTTGGATATAAAATTCTGTGTAGAGAAAAATGCCACCTCTCCCGCAAAAAAAAAAAAAAATTGGTAAGATTTTTTTTTTTTTTGCTAACTGCAAAACAGCAACTAACAAAAGCAGAGGGTGAACTAATGAAAACATATGAACAAAGGACATACGTCTTCTTCCATGTCAGGTTAACACACCAGTAATAACACATTAGGAGTGATTCAAAGGATCCCACTAATGAACAAGACTGCAATTAAATCCTAAAAGAATAGGAGCCAGTTTGAATTATAACATCTGCTTTTTTCCAAACACGTCTGGAATATGTATTTAACACTTTGTCCTTCTAGCAATTTTCCAAACTCTATCATTTGGGAAACACAAACCACCAAGCCAACAATGGCAATACTGAAAAATGAAGTTTGATAGGTGGGAACGGCCTTATTTCTTCAAGTGCATACGTAAGCGGACAACGCAAAGAAAGGGATGTGATGCTACAGCGGCGGTGCAGCTCTCTAGATGAAGAAGATAATGGAAGGATCCACGAAGTCTTAGGAAATCCTAACAAATCTGCACAAAGATGGCCAAAAAAAAAAAAAGAAAAACCAAACAGAGTCGCAATCACGACATTTGATTCTCCGCTGGTGGGAGAACTCTCAGTTCAAGGTGGCAATTGTTCGCTTTCTCGGCTCCAAGTTCCCACTGCAACTTAAAGGTGTGCGATTACACAAGACTGGAGATCCGGGCCACTGAAGCACTTTCTTTGGGATACAAAGTTATTCTGATCCGGGCAGAGGGACGGAGAAGAGGGAACGTCAAGGGGCCCGGGGGCGAGGAAGGCTTCCGAGGGAACCTCGGTGGCCCGGCACAGACTCGCTCGCGCTCGGGCTCGCGCCCCGCGCCGGCGGATGCGCTCGCGCTCGGCCGGGGCGTCGGGGCTCTAAGCTGCCGGCATCCCTAACTCCGCGGGCCTCCGAGGAGGGCGATGACAGCTCTCCCCGCGTCGCCCGCTTCCGGGGGGCCGGGAGGGCGGCGGGAGACAAGTGCACCGCCGCTCCCCCGAGAAACAAAGATGCTTTCCTCCCTTCTCCTAAGATGGAGGAAGAGTCGGGGCAGGGAAGGGGGAGAAAAAAAGGGGCAAGCGGGGAGCCAGGCCGGGGAGAAGCCCCCGGCGGCTGCCGGCGCGGCGGCGCGGCCCGGCCGGCGGGCGCGCGGCTCCGGGGCATTGTCTGCTCGGGGGTCCCCGACCCCGCCGGGGCCGGCCGCGGGGCGCCGGAGGCCGGGCAGGCGGCGGGCGGCGCGGCCCCGGAAAGCACCGGCCGGGCCGAGGGGCCTCCCGCAGGCCCCGGCGCCCGCTCGGGGCCCGCTCCGGGGGCAGGTGCGGCCCGCGCCCCCCGCCCCGCCGCCGGCGTCCCCGCCGCCCCCGCCGGGGCCCGAGCCGCATCCCGCCCGCCCCCGCCCTACCTGAGGGGGCCCGGGCGGGGTCGCTAAGGGCCGCTCCCGGGAGCCCCGCGACGGCGCGGCTCGGCGGCGGAGGCGCCTCGTCTCGCCGGGGCAGCACTCGGCGGCGGCTTCGCGACCTCAAACTCCATCGGGAGCTACAGGGACAGCCCCGTTGGCGGCGGCGGAGGCCGCGACGGGGCCTCCTCCTCCTCCCTCCGCCTCCTCCGCCTCCTCCTCCTCCTCACCACGGAGGCGGACCGGGAGGGATCCCGACCTAGGTCTCGCGAGAAGACACTCCCCACTTCGCGCGAGATCACGCAGGACCAGGCGTTGGGGGGGCCGGGTGGTGGTGGGGTGGCGGAGGGAAAACGTAGGGGGCCCCCTCCCCTCCTGCTCCCCCGCCCCCCGCCCCCTGGGCTGCGCAGCAGCTTCTCGCAGGTCGTGCCGGACCACCCCCATCACGTGACCAGTGAGTCCCAGAGCACTGTGGGAGGGGCGCTCGGGAGACCTAAGCGAGCCCAAGGGGTTGATGGGAAATTCCCTGCACTTACATCTGTTCCTAGATCCCTATTTCTGGTTGCTGCTGTGAGTCAGTGTGGCTCCCCTCAGGAAACGCTGGGTGTTCAATGAGCATGATCTGATAGATCTGTTACATTGTAATTCACTCGCCTTTAATAAAATAACTGGATCCCTGCATCTAGGTGCCAAGCAATCTCTCCAGTTTTTCTTTTTTCTTAAAAGGGGTGAAAAGCAAGAATATGGCTCAGTGGCAGAACATAGCCCTCAAATGGATAAGGAACTAGAGTGAGTCCCCAGCCACACAAAACAAAACTAAATCAAAGGAGCACTGACACATTATTACTTTACTAAAGAGAAAATTGTACTCCTCAGAAGCTGGCAGGGATAATTCTGGTACTAGCTCAAATATTTGTTGAAGGATTTCTTACAGTAAGGCAGAAATTGTTTGGGGACAATATCCAGCAGTGCTCAAGGGCTACTCCTGGGTGGGATTTGCTCCTCGTGAGCTCAGTACTGGGAAAACCAGAAGAAGCCAGGGATCAAATCCAGGAAGACCACATGCACTCCAGTTCTCCAATTTTGAGCTCTTCTCCCAGTCCCAGAAATAATTTTTTATAGATGAAGAGACAAACTGGGATTGTATAAAGGAATGAACATATATCATTTGCTGACTGTTATGTTAGGTGTTAGAATAATTTTTACTTATAATCCTATAGTTCTGCTTGGGAGATAGCTCAAAGGGCTAAACTACATGTCTTGCATGCTATAGCCCCAAGTTTGCTCACTGCCATGTTACGGCCTCCCAAATAGTGCTGGAAGTAGCCCCCAAGTGCTTCCAGGTCTGGCCCAGCCCCCTCTTTTTGAATAAAATACTAGTCATGAATAAATAATAAACCTAAAAGGAAGATACTATGCATTGAACTGGAAAACAAATATTAAGAAAATGGCTATGAACTGTAATTAAACTTAAGTCTCTCTGTCTAATATGAAACCAGATATCCAGAAGAAAAGCTCTTATGGAAGCAAACCCATCATAAATTAGGAGATATGTTACACTAGTTTATAAATTATGAGCTTTATTATATATATATATATATGGCTGGAGCGATAGCACAGCGGTAGGGCGTTTGCCTTACAAGTGGCCAACATGGCCGACCCGAGTTCGATTCCTCCACCCCTCTCAGAGAGCCCGGCAAGCTACCGAGAGTATTCGATATGCCAGACACAGTAACAACAAAGTCTCCAATGGAGATGTTACTGGGCCCGCTCAAGCAAATCGACGATCAACGGGAGGGCCTTTACCTTTACCATATATATATATATATATATATATATATATATATATATATATATATACACACACACACCAGGGTTCCCGTCTTATACCAGGGAACCAAGTGTTTTTAAAACAAAATTCATTGGGGGCTGGGATGACTCTGGCATAATACATTTGCCTTGCAAGTGCAAGACCGTGAGTTTGAACCCCAGTGTCACCCACAGGTGCCATGCCCAGACCCAGTGGATCTGCAAACCCCTGTGTTGCAACAGAGCTAGTACCTTCAAACACCATATCTAGTGTCTGCAAACAACTTAAGATGTGCAAGCGGGGCCAGGGATGTTTACAGTGGGTACAGTGCTTGTCTTGCACATGGCTGACCCAGATTCCATTCCTGGCACCCGATATGGTCCCATGACCACTCCAGTAGTGATCCCTGAACAGAGAGCCATGAGTAAGTCCCGAGCACAGGTGGGTGTGACCCAGAAAACAAAAACAAAAATAAAGATGTGCAAGCACCATGGCCAGGAAGTATAATCCCAATGAACATATGCATGAGTACTAGAGACCCCTAGTCAGTACTACAACCAAAACATACCCAAGCAACAATTAAAGTTCAACTTCCTATTGTATATCATGGTCTGGCATGTGAGCTCCACAACCAAGCACAGGCAAGGCCCAGTCATCAGAACAACAAAGGGAAAAGGAAAATAAGTGGAGACTAGGGAGGATAGAGCCATACCCAGCAGTACTCAGGCAGGTCTCACTCCAGGTTCCTGGCTCAAGGATTACTCCTGGTGTTGTGGGGACCATACATATTTCAGTGGGGGGAGGGAGCAGGCCTCTAATTAAGTTCTGCTGCAAGCTGTCTTACCCTCGGTAGCACAAAAGACAGATTCCCAATATTCCATCATCTCAGTATCTTCTCAACTAGATAACGGATGTGTTTGTGTGTGCATGTGCACATATGCACATGCCTGTATAAAATTTCCCCATTTCACTATAGTGGCACGTGATTATCTAAAATCTATCAAAAATAGCCTTAACACATACTTAAATCCTTGCTGTCCCCAACATTTGACATACAGTAATTTGACTTCTCTTTTATTATTTCCCTCAAGTAAAGAGTTTAAGAAAATTAAGATTTTAGTGTCTATATCTAACTTCTAGTATAGTTATAAGTTATAAAGTATAAATTGATAATAAATTATTCTTTTGAATGATAAAATGCTAGTATTTTTAAGATACCCAAAAGTGAAAATATGAAAGAATACAATTTTCCATTCTCATCTTCAGTTTATTTCTTACGTAAACATTAGGATACTTACAGCCAAGGTAAAAAGGGAACAACAATTTTCTCTTACACCAAAGAATAGCTACCTTTTCAAGATACTTTACGTATAAATGCATTAAATAAAGAGGCTAAAACTCAAATATACTGCATTTTCGCCATCGTATCAGAAATACAAATAAAATACTCTAAAAGAATAATTTCAACACTTGTATACCTGCATTTTAAAAAAAGATTCTGTTTTCCTGAAGTTGTTTAGACACATCATGCAAACAGACACCCGCCTAGGAATGTTTTCAGATCATTCTGTGTTACTAAAGAGGAATAAATAATAATAAATAACAATCTTTCCTTTCATAAAACACCCCTTCCCCTCAAGCAAAATCTCAAAGTGCTTACAAAAATTTTCACAATGACAAGGCACACGTAAAACTTAAACAGTTTAACCATATATTTTTAAAACATCAAATAGATACCAATTCCTAAAAAAAAAGTGTATTAATATACACCCCCTCCCCCGTCCCACCCTTCCCTACAAACTTCCATCCTAAGGAGCAAAAAATAAAAAAAATTACTTCTCACAAACTGTTCCTGAATGGGAAATACTTTCATGCCTAAAAATGACCAATTCTAGGAAAAGTGGGAAAGAAAATTTAATGCTGAGCTGTTTGATATCCTCTAGTGAAAGGAAGACACTATTTATTTACTTTAGAAAAATTGTCAGGTGGAGTAACCAAGTAACAACATTTATAAAGACACCAAACTTCCCTCTGTTGCTCCCCTTGTTTTTAGAAACCCAGCAAGTTTTAAATACATTATAGAATTTTAGGCCCTGAGATAATATAACAAAATCATCAAAATCAATTTTATTTTTGGCTTTTAGGCCACATTTCCAACAGTGCTCAGGGATCACTCCTGGTGGTACTCGGGTACCAAGTAGTACCGGAAGCACGGGCTCTGCCCGTTGTGCTATCTCTGGGGTTCCATAGTTTTATTTCAAATATAAATTTAAGAAGTGATTTGCTTGATGTCACTGACTACCAACCAGGGTTCACAAAGTCATTTTTTTAATCAAGTATGAGCTATATTTCCCTAAAGTCCCACCCACAGTTCAAATTCTATGAAGAATATATTTTTCACAAAAGTTATCACAAAACTGTATTTAATATTTATAACACGTTTTCACCACAAAATTCTCATAAATGGCACAAAGTATGTTACATTTGAAAATACAAAAGGCAGTCAATGGAAACTAAATACAGCAGTCTACATAAATTTGAGGAGAGCAGGGAAATAGAATATCTTGCAAGTAAGACGCATCTATAGTCAAGCTTCGTTACCAAGAGTAGTTTCTGTTTTAGAGAATAGAATTTGTCCTGAAGTACATCTTACTTTATTACAAAAAAAAAACCCACTCCAAATAATATCATTTATATGTAGACAGAAATTAGAGAGCAATCACTCACAACACAATTTGCAATGATTCTAGTAAAAGAGCCATATACTCACAGTTTTACTTTTGGCACATTTCTGGAAATACAGGGAAAAACTCTACAATGGCTAAGATTTTTAACAGGGAGAAAATTAAACTTTTTCCACTTACATTTAAAAAACTTATTAAGAGGGGCCAGAAAGATAGTACAGTGGGTAAGGCACTTGCCTTGCATGCGGTCGACCCAGGTTTGATCCCCAGCATCCCATATGGTCCCCTGAGCACTGCTAGGAGTGATTCTTGAGTGCAGAGCCAGGAGTAACCCCTGAATATCACCTGGAGTGCACCCCCCTCAAAAAAAAAAGTTTAAGAAAATACTAAGAATTACGCACATTTGTGTTTTTTGTAGTTTTGTGGGGCAATTCCATGGATGAAACCAGGGTCTCATACATGCAAGATAAGCACTCTATCACCCAAGTTTAAACAGCAAAAAAATTAATACATATTGTCAAAGCACAATAAGCACGTGAATGAATTCTTTATGGACATAATATGGATGAATCCTAAGGGCATCATGCTAGGAGAATAAAGCATCTCAAAAGGGGCCATACAATAAGATTCCTTTTGTGACATTCCAGAAAAGACAAAACTAAAGTAATGAATAACTATTGTCAGGGTCTAAGAGTTAAGAGGAGCTGGGAAAATTATTATAGGATTTTTTGACTGATTGAATTTTTTGTACTGATTGCTGAGAATAAAAAAAAAATCTGTTAACTTTAATAGAACAGTACACCGAAACCAGATTCAACCTTACTCTATGTTAATTAAAACACAAAATTTAAGAAAAAGAATGGTATAATAGACTTGGTAAAGTCATAATTTCTAAAGTAGTAATTTCTCAGAACTTTATGCCAATGATGTAATTTTACTGACCAAACAGTGATCACAAGCAACTGCATTAAATAAAATTAAGGAATTTGGCTTCAATTAATTAGATCTAAAATATGTATATTAACAACTCATAGAAATATGGTCTTCTGAAACATTAGACGATCGATGAGGAAACTTCCAAATGAATCTAAATTATGTTCCTTTAGTTTTTAACAAAAAGTATATGATCCAATAGCAGCTGCTTACAGATGACCAAAAAAATTACTAATCCTTTGTTCTTAAATTGACTAATAATGTACAACAGTGTTTTAAAAGTTTCTCTTTCCATTATCCCATCAGATTATTGAACTTTACACCTATTACACGGATCAGTTATCTAGACTCAAAATCAGAATGTGGGGATCTGAAAGATGGCAGTGGCGCAGTGGCAGGTGCTAGAGCTGGCAGAGCGAGGGCACCTCTCAGTGCTCTGCCTAGCAGGCCACTGGGGTCACATTTCTGCGTGAATGAATGTGTCCTTAAAATTCTCTCAAAAAGAGTGCCTTCTGAAACTAACCTGGTGCCTGTTGTGGAGGGCGAGGCCAGAGTGAGACCCAAGAAGATAGCCGTTTGGCCGTGGGCACCAAAAGTGGCGGAGCTACAGCAGCTCTCAGGGCCATGGGCAGCGGGCTGACGCCGCCACAGACTTTCGGTGTGAATGAATAGTGCTCTTCTGTTATCACCAGGGAGCACAGGCCCGGGAGTTGAGGGGGTGCCCTGGGTTCCCGACACTGGGGGCCGGCTTAGGTGCCCCCACCACCAATGCTCCCCCAGATCAGCCTGCGCTGCCGTTGCCGCCAGTGTATTTTGTAGGAAAATCTCCCTGAGCTCTAACTGCCTGGAGACTGGACATGAGAACAGAGGTGAGCGCCTCTGGTGAGGTTCTACTGGACTGGTGGTGGCAGCCCACTGGCATGCTTGAGCTACGCTCAGTAGCCGCCCTGGCCAGGTCCTGGTCCCAGCAGGGCCACTGCTGCCATCACCACTGAGGCCCAGAAGGTAAAGTGCCACCAGTGGGTGAATCTGGACCCACCAGCAGTGTGATGGTGCCTTCAGGCTTCCTGATACCACAAAGTCACCGCTATCCCAGCTAGACTCCAAAATATCAGGACCAAGTTTTCCGAGAAATTAAACCACCAAAATATAGGTCTCCGGGAGCCATGCCCACAAACTACCTCGGCACCACCATACAAGTTCATTTATCGGCCTTGCTCCAGACTGAAAAATCTTGAAAGAGATCAGAAAGACACTGTAAATCTTCTCAGACCTACACATGATCAGGGGCACATCAGAGTGGGATGGGTTAGCACAGTACCGGACCAAACAGAAACACTGGAAGCCACTTGCTTCCACAATCCCAAATCGCCACCATGTCCCCAGCCAGACTCCACTGTCTCAAGACAGACCTCACCTTACTGAGAAATTAACCTGCTGAAAATTTGTGTATGTGGATTTAATGACTGAAATCATTAGGCTTTCTCCAAGTCAGGCTGGGCTACCTCCCCCAACCTTCATGTACTTCTGGAAGCCCCACAGTCATGTCCAAACCCCAAAGTTGTCACCCAATTAAAAAAAGCTACTTCAGCTGTATCTTCCCAGTAAAAATTTGACTCCCTGAACAAACACAGTGACTTCTTAGTACCTGTAAAGTATAATGCACGAAAGGAGAGAGAAAAGTGCCTGCCACAGAGGCAGCTGTGAGTAGGATGGGGTGGTGGGGTGCTGGGAGGGAAACAGGGGACATTGGTGGTAGGAAATGTACACTGGAGGGATGGGTGCTGAAACACTGTATGACTGAAACCCATCATGAACAGCTACATAGCTGCTTCTCACCGTGATTCAATTTTTTTAAAAAAATTCATGCCACACAAAGCAAAAAGAAAAATTACTGGGGAAAAAAAAATCAGAATATGAAAATCCTTGATCTTGTCATTAGAATCAAGATTTAGGAGAGGAACACAACTCTAGATATAACACTGAGATTTATAGATAATGTATGAGTCAGACAGAATCCAATCCCATCAGCTCCACTATTGTCTCCACAACTTTAGAACTGGTAGAAGTTCAGAAAGAATAACATGTAGGCAGACCAATTAACAAGACCCAACGATTTGGGGGGGAGGGAATGCAATATTACAAATGCTGCATTTCTTCAGAAAGATTTGTCTAACAGAGGGATAAGGCTTACAAGGCAAAGTATGATTCTAACTATAGTAGGTTTTGCGTTTGGAGATCATGCCTCGGCAGTTTCTCCCCACTGCTTCTACCATGAACAGAAGTTAAGTGCTTTTTGAGGGCAGATTTGTGCTTGAAATCCATGTCACAACAGTGGCATTTGTATGGCCGATCTCCACTGTGTATGTTCAAGTGGTCCTGAAGTGTACTTTTAGCAGTAAATGTCTTCAAGCACACTGTACACTGAAAGGGCCGTATACCCATGTGCCCACGAATGTGCCGGTTAAGATTTTTCTTCTGTGTAAATGTTTTTCCACACTGCAAACACAAGAATAGTTTATGCATCTTAAGATGACGCAGATAGTTTTCAACATGAAGAAATCCCCGAGGACACCTGGGGCACTGGTGTCTCAGTGAATAGGCATCATCCAGATTCTGAATCTCATTCACTGCACCATGACTTACTTCAGTATTTTCACAAAATAATCCCTGATCATGTGTCCCAGGAACTTCTGCCACTCTGCTCTCAACCGTTGAATTAATCAATGAATGCTGTGTTTCTGAAAAATACATGCTTGCTTTTGAAGACGTACAAGGTTGTGAAAATGGCTCGTTCTCCACAACAGGAGTACCAATGGATTCCACATGGAGGATACAAATTTCATTGTCTTTAAAACCTATGTCGATTGATGACAAGTCTGGTGATTTTGTTTCCTTTCTCTCTGGTGTCAAGTTTTCGATTGTAGACTGCAAAGCACTGCTTTCCTCTTCCTTAATGTGGAAATCTATGTTTTCAGGACTATCTTCTGAGATTTCAATGATCTCACAGTCTTTATCCGAACTGTCTTCTTTCTTAACATCTAGATCGGAGGACTGACAAAGGTCAGAATGCTGATTGCTATTTTTCATAGAAAGATCAATTTCCAAATACTTTGATAATGCTTCTGTACACTTTTCCACAATGTGAACCATCTGGAGGTAGCTAGCAGCAGTCAAATATTTCAAAAGCTCTTTCCTCTTAACTTCAAGTGCTCCTGTATAACAAGAGAGCAGCAATTTTCTGCCAACTTCTGCACTCTGTAAGATGGTGATTCTCACATGTTTTGACTGTGTTAGTAAAAACTGATCTCTCATAAAAGTTGAGCAAGCAGCTAGAATCACCTTGTGCCCCTGGAACTCAGTGTCATTAATATAAATTGACACGTCACAAAATAAATTCTGCTGTCTCAAGAGGTTCATTTTCTGCAAGATGACATCGCCTTGTTGTTCAAATCGGAAGTGCAGAACATCAGATTCAGCAGCCATGGTCACAATCTAAGCAAAGACAAAATAAAAACCATGCATATTTATGTGCAGCTTTGGAATGTTGTCTTAAACTGTTGATAGTAAAAACAAACAGAAAGTCCCTCACTTGGACTGGATTCTAAAAAAATCCCAATTCAGGCGCTGACAGTGAAATCCTATGCCCCGTTATTAAAACCCGGAAAAACGAAAATACACATGTCGGTGATGATGTGGTGCACTTTGCCTGTTGTTGTTGTTGTTGTTTTGCTACAGAACTTGTTACATTGAATTAGAGCCAACAATTTCAAAGTTTGTTCCCTTGGCTATAAACTGTGTTCCTGCGGTTAAGGAGACTTAACCAGTGTTAATGCCCACAGCTAACTTCCGTTTAACTGTATCTCAAGTTAGATACTTAATATCCTCTCCAAACTTCCTACACCTATCACTACTGCCTGAACTAATTCTGTCCACCTGGAAGACGGCAACGTCTTCCAAAAGGCCTTAAGACTATTGCATCTTCGATAATCTACACACCTAAGTGCCCTAAAATTTAAGTTTTGTTCTAAACTTGTTTTATTCCCCTTCCTTTTCCTCTCCGTGACTCTCCTTGACCTCTAGGACCCTAACTACTCAGCGAACACCAGGCTCTCCTGGATCCGTCCCCTTTCTGGCTTTCCGCTCCCTCTGTCCCCGACCCCCTGGACGCTCCTTCCACGCGGGCACTGTGACAGCTGCCCGGGCCGGCCGGCCGGAATACACCTGGGCCCGCGTGACCCGCGCGCTCCGGCCCCTTCTGCAGGCGGTGGTCAATCATCCTTCACTTAAGGCCCCAATCGAATTAGAACCCTGGGCCGCCGCCTTCCGGCTCCCCCTGGCGTCCAGGCGCCCAGGGCACCGGGCAGCGGCCCCGGGTTCCACTCGGTTCCCGAGCCCAGCCCCAGGCCGCCGCCGGGCGGGGGCAGCCAAGGGACGGTCCCCGGACGCCGCAGCAGGAACGGCCGCGCGCGCCCCCGAGCTCCCCCCGGGACGTGCCGCGCCGAGGCCGGCCGGACCCGCGCCCCGCCTCCCCCGCCCTCCCCGGCCTCCCCCGCGGGCCGCGCGCACTCACCGCCTCACACACCCGAGCGCAGCTGTCCGCGGCGGCGGCGGCGGCGGCGGCGGCAGCAGCGGCGACCCAGCCGGAAGTAGGACCTGTTTCTGAGGAATCGCTTCCGGTGCAGGCGCAGGAGGCGGTGCGAGGGCGGGCCGGACAACCCGGAAGGACTTCTGGGGACGCGTCTTTTTCTTCCTCGGGTTCCTCTCTCCTCCGCGACAGCTTCTTCTTCCCGCCCCCGGTGTCAATGGGGTACCCGGACTTGGCCCCATTGCCTCTCTCCTGACCCCCGTTTTCTGCACTCGAACCGCGCCCTGCCGTGGTTTCTCGAACCTCCCGGTTGGAGATGGAAATTAGGCCACAGCGTGGAGATTGCGCGAGGTGCTTAACGGGTTACCTCGACCCCCTCCGAGGGGGCCAGCGGCATCCCTGCCAGGCCTCCCCCTGCCTCTAGCTTGCTTCTCTCGCAGTCCTGTGGATTTTCAGGAGCTGCTGATGAGGATGTGCTCTATCCTTCCTCCCGCTTCCTCTTCAAACCCCGGTTGTCAAGTCACATCATCCCCGAAGTCCTCCTTACCTGCCCCCAACACGCAATGGAGGGAGACGCCTTGATTATCGCAGGCGTCATTCTTGTGTTGAAAGCTCTGTGCCATCTAGTATTTAGGACAGTGACTCTGCGGAACTCTGCGTGCCAGAAATCTAGCATTTAAAAGTAGACATTAAGTATTTGCCAAGTGAATCTGACCCATTTTTTCTTTTTTGGACCCACAGCTTCCCTTTTATTTAAATGAAAGACTGTTTAGACATGCACATTGAATAGCTGTGGAATCAAGGCTCAATTCTTAAAAGCAGTTGTTCCACCTCTAGGTCATCAGGTTCTCTTGGAAGTAAATGATCTAACAATTTAGGATTTAGGCAAATTTTCATCAGGATTAAGCCAAAATCTGCATCCTTCATTCATGTGTTATAAAGAAGGCTTTCTTGTGTTCAAATTACAGTGACTAAATGAAGGAAAGTTGGAGAGAAAATAAACCACTGAGTCAAGGGTTAAATCGTCACACTTTTATTAAGGAAACTTCCCCATAATAAGTGAAGAGGTAGTTCATAGTATGTCTAACATACAACAGATTTAAAACAGCTATTCAAAAGCTGAAATAAAATGTTCTGGGTTACTTAGGACAATATTTTAGAAGTAGTGACACCATTCACTTCCATTTATAAATCTTCTAGTAAAACTAAAACAAAACCAGTGTGGAGTGTATCTTTTAAATGAAATAACAGTGACAGTAATTTAAAAAAAAAAAACTATGGCAGAGAGTGCTTTCTCCTTTAGAGCTATCCTGTGAATCCATCAAATACAGATGTCAAATAAACTAATGTTAAAAAAAAATCATCCTTTTCTACAGGAATGAAACTACATTTGAGTCATCTTCCCCTATAAACCTGTTATCAGCAACTTAAGCACTTTGCAATACAGTCTAAGAAACATGTATAAAACCAAGAAGAAGAGTCAAGTCCAACCAAAATTCAGAACATGTCTCACAGAAACAGAACCCTCTCCAGCCAAGAAGTGGAGGAGACTAAGTAGTCAGCAGTTGCGTAAGGTAACCACTACAAATTTTACTGGTACAAAACCATCAAGAAGCTGACTCTGATACAAGCAAGCAAGGCAGTTTTCTTCATGATTTCTAATATAATACCAGAGTTGACAGAGTATCGCACTAAGATCACATGAGACTGTAAACTTCAGGAGGGCAGGGGCCATGGTAGTCTTACCTTCATATCTTCAGTATCTAACATAGTACCTGACCACAGGAGGTGCCTGATCACTGAGTGACTGACAGGACCATAAACAGTGTCCAACCAAAGAGACTAATCTGATGTGAACACCAGTCTCCCTTGACTCTTTAAGCCAGTAACAAAAACAAGACATGAATGTAAGCAAATGAAGCATTTCAACTTGATATTTGCCTCTGATGAAAGGACACTCAGAAAATAAGCATTGGTTAACATGGTAGCATCACGCTGTTGCATAGACTTGGTACTCTTTGGCTGGATCATGATAATTAAAATGCTAGGAAGCATCATTAGACCATATAATAAGTGGATTACACATAAGATACCTATTCAGTCTTATCACTCTATGGTAATCTCATTTTACACATTGTAACAAAACGCAAACTTTATACCTAAAAGCAGATTCACTTTTAAGTGCATCAAATAACAAATTTATGACTTCTTCTGCCTACCCAAGTTGAAACCTAATTTTTGGTTTATCTGTATATGCACTCTCATCGTTCAAAAATAAAAACAAAATCCTGATGAAAACTATCATTTACTATAGACAAAAATCAGTTTCACAGTTCGCTCCTTCTCATGTTATTCTTTCTTGTCCTTTCTCTGCCCTACTAACAACCAGCAAATCAGTCACTGGCTTAGGAAGAATACTCATTCTAACCCCAAATAACTAACATAAATAAATTCTGTGATATTTTGTTTGCAAAATCCAGGCTGTCTCTGAAAGCCAACAGGGATTCACAAAGGTAAGATTTTGCCTACTGTGTTAATCTTGATTCTGTCCTCAATGAGTTTAAGCCAAGGGATAAGTGAGGAGATACCAGCTCTTGTTGAGTCACATGTCTACTTTGGCCAACCTTGGCCAGGCCACCACTTTGGCCTTTTCATAGAACAACTTGAAAGAGATCAAGCTAATGGTCTCTTCAAAGTCTCTAAAGATTCTAACACTCCTATTACCTAAATCTAACTCATGGGTTAGGAAAAAACAAGATCAGGATTTTATTTCTGAATTGTAATATGTGCTTTTGGGGAAAAAATCATTTTGTTTTTCCATATTGGAAGATTTGCTAGAGGGCTGGAGCGATAGCACAGTGGGTAGGGCGTTCGCCTTACACGCGGCCAACATGGCCGACCCGAGTTCGATTCCTCCGCCCCTCTCGGAGAGCCCAGCAAGCTACCGAGAGTATTTGATATGCCAGACACAGTAACAACAAAGTCTCCAATGGAGATGTTACTGGGCCCGCTCGAGCAAATCGACGATCAACGGGAGGGCCTTTTATATTGGAAGATCAATTCTGATTTAGCAATCTATCAAAGGTGGAACTGTGCACTGTTACAGGAATAAGAAAGGAAAACGCCTGACTGCTCTTTTGTGACCCATTTTTTTCTCATCCATTTCAGAAATTAAGGTACACAAAGAAATAAGAAGCAAGAGACTATTACAAACATTGGAGAACACTCTGAGGACCCACCTCACCTAGCACATGGCAAAATCCTGAAAGTTCAGAGGTTCCAAATAGCCTCCTTCTAGAGAAATCACCATACTTTAGCATCATTACACTTTAGTGCTTTTGAGTAATCCTGACTTCAAAGGCATCAGCAAGTAACCTACACATGTACTGCAAGCATGTGGCTTCTTTTTAGGAAAACCTTAGGTTAGTGTTTTCTAACTGTACCTCTGTCCTTTCTTGGTAATCCTCCTGCTGATGCTTAACATCAATCTGCCTGTACGTGCTGCTGAGAAGACCACCACTGGACAGTGACAGCATAATTCAGAAGCTGTGCCCTAAATACTGTTGGAAAGAGTGCAGGAAAATCCAAAATACTCATCTCCCAGAGCAGTACAAATGGCAGAAAGCAGATTCAATCATTAATAAGAGAGCTGAATTATCAGTAGGCAACCAAAACGTTCTACCACGTATTCAGCCCAACAGCAATTTCACCTTTTCTCTTAGCCTTTTTTTTTTTTGCAAAGGAAAAATATTATTCACTTCTTTTAGTATCACATCTATGAATGGAAAAATAGGTCAGGTTATCAGCTTGTTGCAAACTTCACTTTAGAATGTGCCAGGTGAAAAGCCTAAAATAGTGCCAGTCTCACATTATCAAGTCAATGTTAGGTAGACAAATGGAATACTCACTCAGAAAGGAAAACCGACATCAAAGGATAAATAATTCAAAACAAACCGGGAAAGGGCAAAAGAAGGCAAGACCACTCCTAGTGGCAAGTTGCCTGGTCTATTAGTGCTTTGACTCACCACTACGCCGGCTCCACGGCTTTGGAGAAGTCAAACTAGCAAAATCACTCCTAATCATTCCAACTAGTGCCACGATTTCAGTCAGTTCTAGCGTGAGCATAAAGCCCCTATTCAATTCACACAAGTACTATCATTCCTTAAGTTCAGGACAGCTTGGGCCAGTTTACCTGCATCCAGGACCTGTGTCGCATCAGGCTGTGGCTGACACCCTTTCGAGTCTGTAACTGTTGTACATGCAAAAGAATCAAAATCCACTGTGAGGTCTTGCACATTTCTTTCATTGGCATTATCAAAGCTGTTTTTGCCATGCAGCTGCTTAAGGTGTTTCCTCAAAACTGGCTTATGTGCAAAAACCATATCACAATAGTTACACTTATGGGGCTTATCTCCACTGTGAAGGTTAAGATGATCCTGTAAGGAACACTTCTGAGAAAAGGTTTTGCCACAGATCTTACACTGGAAAGGTTTAATGCCGGCATGCACACGCATGTGTCGATGAAGGTTGCCTTTCTGGGTAAAAGTCTTGCCGCAGAGTAGACACATAAAGAGTTTGTGCATTTTTAAGTGGTTGGCGTAGTTCTCCAGGTGACGAAACACCCTGGTACACTTTGGGCACTGGTGATGCCACTGGAGGCCTTTGTCTACACCTCGAATATTAGGCCCAAAGACATCTTTGGAGGCCATGATGATGTTATCACTGCCTGTGTAAGAGAGGGCATAATTGTGGAGATGGTTTTGTTCTATTTCACTGACTCTGTTTTCCACAGTTGAATTTATCAGGGAGTGCTGGGGCTCTGATGAATGTAAAGCAGTGGGTTCAGAAGAAATAAACTGGTTCTGATCTTTTTTACTTCTAACCTCGGACACATCCCCAATAGATTCTACCTTAACAATCTGAATATCACTGTCCTCCATATCCATACTGTCTTCAGATGGATGAATACAAGGTGAGTCCTGCTTTGGGGAGTCTCTGGCATCTCCCTGCTGTTCTTTTGACTGGGGAGAAGCACTTTGTGGTTCACATCCCTCTTTACTATCCATTGGTTGTTTTGGCTTTATAAACTTCCACAAGGCCTGTGTGCACCGTTCTACAATGTGGCTCATCTGAAGAAAACTCGCAGCAGTCAAGTAATTTACCAGTTCCATCTCAGGGAATTCCAGCACACCACTATAACAGGATAAGAGCAATTGTCTCCCCACTTCGGAACTCTGTAATATGGAGATTTTCACCTCTCGGGAATCATTCAGTAAAAACTGGTCTCTTAAGAAGGGGGAACCTGCAGCAAACACAATTTTATGCCCCTGTACCTCAATATCATCTATGAGAACTGTAACATCACAAAATTTATTCTCTTCTCTTAATTTGTTCATTTTTTGTAACATTGAATCTCCATAATTTTCAAACTTGAAGTGAAGGAGATCTGATCTTTCAGACATTTTGGCAGACCTAAAGGACAGAAATGTAAAAAGGATGAATTTAAGAAAATATAAGCAATTAAGAAACCTGGATTTTCCTTCCAAAAACAAATTTGTGTTGGCATGTTTGTTTGTATTTGAATAAAACTCCTTGAAAGAGGAAGCTGACATTATAGCTTTCAGAGACAGCTAAAAATTATTCCTTACATACATCGTGCCAATTGTACCTAAGCAGTGGACTTGCATTCATTCCATTTTTAAGGTATTAATACAAGACCTTAAAAAGTTCCCACTGACAAAAGAAATTTCTATAAGGTGTCAATAACAAATGAAAACAGCTCAACAAATAGAAATGCAGCAACTATTTTCTACTTCTTCCAAACAAAAGACTCTCTTCCTTCCTTTATCCTTCTCCTTTTTCCTTTCCTGCAGAACTGCAGTGTCCTTGCTTGCCCGGTTCCTAGTTAAGTCCTAGTGTTTAACTAATGTAAATTTATTCATACAAGAATTTCTGCAGTACAAGAAAAGTCGCAATCCTTAGGAGACTTTTAGACAACATCAAAGGCAGAAGTCTTTATTCTGTGCATTGTGGATGATACAAACCTTCTTTTTAAGAATATAGAAATTACATAAAATATTTAGAAAATCCAGATGAAAAGCAAACTAATGAAAAAGCAGGCAATTCACTTGGTAGGAATTTGAGTAGGAGCAAAATGACTCTAATTAATACTACTAGATTCTATTCTTTTTCTGGCTTTTGTTTTTCTTTTTGGCGTCACACCTGGCAATGCACAGGGATTACTCCTGGCTCTGTACTCAGGAATTACTCATGGCGATGCTCAGGGAACCATATGGGATGCTGGGAATCGAACCCGGGTCAGCTGTGTGCAAGGCAAATGCCCTACCCATGTGCTACCACCCCAACCCCTGTTCTTTCTTCTTTGTCCCTGTTTTTCTAGCATTACTCATCTGAACAACTGAACTGATAAGCATTTCCTTGGCTTCCAGCTTTAATTCCCTGGAATCCAACTTTTATATCATTGCATGTCGTCTTTCAAAGAAATCATAGGTCTGATTATACCAAACCCCAGACTAAAATTCGTCTGTCATTTTCCAATGTCTCCTGAATGTAAACTAATTTATTAAGTCTAAGCTGATTAAATCTTTTATAAAAAGGTAAACATCAGCATAGCCCATTCAGTCAAAAACAGATGTCTATGTCAAAAGATCAGCATATCTGTTCTTTATGGAGCAATTTCTTATTTTGATTCCACATACAAGGTAACCTAGTTCCCCATGTGTCGTTTAAGAGAGATGGATGGGTAAGGGCCATGAGAGATAGTACAGCAGGTAGGATGAGTGCTTCCCTTACATGTGGACACTGGGTTGATCCCTGGTGCTGCATATGGTCCCTGAGCACAGAGCCAGGAATAATCCCTGAGCACTGCCAGGTATGCACCCTCACACACACACACACATTTAAAAAAAGGTGGGAGGATGAATGAATCAGTTATGGCACAGTGATCATTTCAGTCTATATAGTAATCTAGTGAGACATCAAGTAGGTCTAAATAGCTGTATATACTTGTCTAGCCATGAGTTCAATTCCCATCCCTAGAGGTGGGGGTGGGGTGGGGGTAGGCTCAATCTCATCAACAAATTCACCTTGATATGTTTGCACTCATCAGCTACATAGCTGAGAACTTCACAAGGGAATTTATTCTTTCTGGCCACATCTGCATCACGAAGCCTAATCTTCATAATCACAGGCTCACAGAATACCAGCTCCTTAAGATTAAGTCCAGACCTTACTCACATTTGACTAAACTCAGTACCTGGTGCAAGACAGCATCTACTTACTTGAAATCTAAGCACACCAGAGTTCTCTAATTCAGAATACTACTACCCAGTCGATACCATTCCAACTCCTTTATTTTTCCTGAGAAGCCCCTCCCTATCCCACCCCCACCCCTGACTAGCACAGTTATCTCTACAGGACCCACAGCATACTATCTCTATCATAACACTCGTAGCAATTCATTAAATATTTGTTCCTTCCTCACAAAACTGCAAGCTTCATGACACTGGAGCAACATGATCTCCATCCTACTCAATCAGAAACATCATCTTCTAGAGTAAAGCACACTTTCATTCTGCTTTAAATTCTCCCTGCAGCCATATTACTTTCTGGCCAAACTCTCCCTATTCTGACCAAACTGCATTTCCATCACCTAATATTGTACTAAATACAAGGCAGGTGCTAGCTTTGTGTAGTCTGAACCTAGAAGATTCACTTGACAGTGTTAAAAAGGAAGAATTATTATTAGGAAGACCAACTGGGCTACAGAGGCAGTATAATCTGAGGCCATGACAGCCTAGAAACGAATGAAAACGGGAATGAAGAGCAAGGGAAAATAAAGATATTTCAAAGAAGTTGGAAACTTACTAGATAAGAAGAATGAAATAAATAAGTATGTCAAGGTTCTAAATTTAAGAGTTTTGTGAAATGAAACAGTCACTAAAAAAGATGAAGTTTAGGAGGGGTGATATGGAACAGGTATATGATATAAATAACTTGTATAAATTATTAATTTCTCCTTGTATGGCATTCTGAAAGTAAAGGGAATGGACAAAGACAACTACTGCGCTGAGAGAGGAGAATGAAGGCTTGGAGAGAAGCAAATGGAGAATCAGAGGAAAGAAGGTATCATAAAAAAAAAATCTATGAACTACAGGTAATAATAGATCAATCCAGAAAGCAGCAGACCTCATCACGATCAGTTTTAACAGTTAAGGTCACTTGAATTATGTTCATTTAGAGAATGTCAAACATCCACTTATATAACTAAAAGATAAAGAATGAGCCACTTGTTTCAACTGACTAAATAAAAAGAACATTTTTTTGTTTAGTCTGTCCTAAATTTACCCTTAGATAAGTATTTCACTATGCACACTTGAAACTGAGTGTTAGTTGTTAATTGACCACAGCCATTAGATTATATACTCACTCACAACTGGTTTTAAACCAGTGTTACTGTTGGTGGTGCTTGGTTTATGGGCCACACCCATCAGTGCTCAGTTGTTACTCCTTGCTCTGCATTCAAGAAGTATTTCTGGCAGTGAGGGACTAAGTATAGTACCTTATCATCTGCCAACAGTGAGAGCTTGAGGGGCTGATGAGATAATGGGAATTAAACCCAGGTCTGTGCTTCCAAGGCAAGCACCCTACACACTGTACTATCTCTCCAGCCCCTAAACCAGCATTCTTGAACCTTTTTTCCTAATTTGCTTCCTTCTTGGGCCCAGTTCTTCCCCCAGGGTTTTAATGCTTGGCCCCATTAGTCTTGTGCCTTGGAACTCCATCTACATTTTTCACCTGTGACCTCCTTGGAATATCCTCAGGGCCTACCAGGGGCCCTATGGCCCTCAGTTGAGAAACACTGCTTTTAGTCAACTACCCTCAAGGACAACTGCTCCTTGGAGATCCAAAGGTGAAGCACTGGAGTCCGGTTTCATTTGCATCCTGCCCACCAGGCTGTGGAAACTTACCATCCTGCCACACAGAGATCACAGGAAAGCACTTGCTTTGAATTACATGCTAAATCACGGTCCTCCCGTTGTTCATCGATTTGCTCGAGCGGGCCCAGTAACGTCTCCATCATGAGACTTGTTGTTACTGTGTTTGGCATATCGAATACGTCACGGGGAGCATGCCAGGCTCTGTCATGCGGGCCAGATACTCTCAGTAGCTTGCCGGGCTCTCTGAGAGGGGTGGAGGAATTGAACTCGGGCTGGCCATGTTGGCTGCGTGCAAGGCAAACGCCCTACCGCTGTGCTATCGCTCCATGCTAGAGTCCAAAAATGGGAGCAACGTTGATCTTTCATTTAAAAAATGTTTCCTATGTGACAGCCTGCACTGTCATCTCTCCGGTGATAGTTTTACAGTTCAAGCAATTCATCCCTTCACTGTATCCTGTTGTTTCTCTTTCCGATAGACTAGCTATTTGAAGGTAAGTAACAGCATTTATTTTTCATGCAGCGTACTTAACAACAACAACAACAACAACAAACCAGCAGAGTAACCAACTCTTTGTTTCTAGGGTGGGACGTGGGTGGGGGTACACCTGGCGGTGCTCAGGGACTACTAGCTGAGCTCACTGCTGGGGATTGCTCCTGGCAGCACTCAGGGTACCAGAGATACACCCGGGTCTTCCACACGAAAGTGTGTGCTTTGCAAGCCTACAGCAAGCATCATCCTCAACGGGGAAAAACTGAGAGCCTTCCCCCTAAGACCAGGGACGAGACAAGGATGCCCACTCTCTCCACTGCTGTTCAATATAGTACTGGAAGTACCTGCAATAGCGATTAGGCAAGAGAAAGATATTAAGGGCATCCAGGTAGGAAAGGAAGAAATCAAGCTCTCACTATTCGCAGATGATAAGATACTATACTTTGAGAACCCTAAAAACTCTACCAAGAAACTCCTAGAAACAACAGACTTGTATAGTAAAGTTGCAGGCTATAAAATCAATACCCAAAAGTCCATGGCTTTCCTATACGCAAATAGTGAGAGAGAAGAAAGTGACATGAAGAAAACAATCCCATTCACAATTGTGCCCCAGAAAATCAAGTACCTAGGAATCAGCTTAACTAAGGAAGTAAAAGACCTGTACAAAGAAAACTACAAAATGCTACCTCAGGAAATAAAAGAAGACATGAGACAATGGAAAGATATCCCCTGCTCATGGATTGGTAGAATCAACATTGTCAAAGGAGCATTGTACAAATTCAATGTGATCCCTATAATGATACCCATTTCTTGCTTCAAAGAAATGGAGCAAACACTCCTGAAATTCATATGGAACAATAAGCCCCCACAAATAGCTAAAGCAATTCTTGGGAAAAAGAAAATGGGAGGAATCAACCTCCCTAATTTCAAACTCTACTACAAAGCAGTAATAATTAAAACAGCATGATACTGGAACAAGGCAGAGCTGCAGACCAATCGAACAGGGTTGAATATACTGACAT